TCACAACTCAATCATTCCACTGCATGCTGGGTAGTTGGTACCAAGAGAATTCGATACTTCTTGTTCCTTACAGTTTCATTATCCCCACTGGGTGGCCTCGGTCCAACCCAGTTCACCAGTGGTTGTGCAGACTGGTATAAAAGACAGCATGCTTTGCTCGTCGTTCCACCAGGGTTCTACACTTCGCTCTTCTCGAGAAGCACCGACATCATGTTCCGATCTTCATTCCTTCTCCTCAGCGTTCTCGCAAAGACAGCACTCTGCCTTTCGGTAGGTGATCTTGATGTCACCTTGAAAGCCGTCTCCTCTTCTGTTCAGTCTGTCGGAGACATCGTTGTCACTGCGATCGTATCAAACCCAACCGAATCCGACCTCCGTGTCCTCGCCGTCAATAACATCTTGGACACGTCGGCCACTCGTTCATTCGACATTAGTGCTGATGGAAAGGAGGTTCCTTTCACCGGTGTCAAGGTCAGCCTTCTCAAATTCCTCAACCATGTTACCTCCACTCATACTGTCATCGCTAGGCCACTTATGACTTCTCCCACGAATCGCTCTATTTGAGCGTTCCTGCAGGTAGCTCCGTTGCCCTCAACCACACCGTCAGCTCCGTCTACGACTTCTCTTCCTTTGCCCCCTGGTACCAAGTTCACCATCGCTCCTCGCCAAGAGAGCACCATCCACGCATCTGTTGATGATCTCGCTCCTTTGAAGGTCGAATCCAACGCTGTGGAGGTCACTGTCGAATCAGATCTTAGCCACACGCCTTTGATCGCCATTCCGGAGGAGTCGGGTGTGGAACGTCGTGTCTCAACTCCCAAGTGTTCTGATTCGGGAAAGAGACAGGTCATCACTGACTCGTTGAAATACGCACGTTCTTTGGCTGGAGGTGCAGCTACCGACATTCGTTCGCACCCCAATGGTCCTCAATATACCCGCTACTTTGGAGGAAACAACCAGAATGACATCTGGTGGAACCTTGACCGAGTACGTGCTCTTTTCTTGCCTTTCTTTCGCATGGCGCTCATTAGCTACCTCTTAGGTTGCGGGCGACATAAACACCAACAGAGAGTATGCCGGCTTTGCATTCCGAGTTTCAAAAAACTCTCTAATCGCGTTTTCTTTAGCATTACTTGCTCCCAGGACAATGGCGATGCTAGGAGCTTCTGTAACAATAACCCTGGTGTTATTGCCTACACTGTTATCTATAGCGATGGAAGGACACCAGTAAGTTCATCACGGACTAGGATTCTTTTTCTGCATCTCATACATACTTGTAGATCTTCACCTGTGAACTATTCCTTCAGGCCGGTACTACGCCAAGCATTTGCCAAGGTAAGCTCAGCGTCAATCTATGCTGGACAATCATCGCTGATCATTTCAACAGGAAGCTACGATTCGACCATGTCTAGCCGAGGAGGCATCATCCTCCACGAGGTACGCTTGTTCTCCATCTTCGATTTCACATGGACGACTGACTGAACTCAACTTTCATCAGCTTGCGCATGCTGTCCATGGCGCTGACGATGTTACTTATGGATGCTCTGCATCCGCTGGGCTTTCCGTTAGTGATAAAAGAGGAACGCTGGTATGTGGCTTGGTCTTGAATGGATCCGTGCGTAAATTTGACATTGCGGATCTCTAGATAACTACCGTTGCATGGGATTGAACATCTACAAGGACTACAACTGTGTCAATGGTCCTCTCTAGGTCCTAGATGAACCTGAAACAAAGAAGAGCACTTCAAGCCCGATCTAATTGTGTTTAAATTGGTATCTGTGTTGTAACTTATTCTCAAAACGCAAATGAAATCTTGTTTCTCGGGCAACTGATACGATTGCTATCTCCACCAGGCGCGGTATGCGAAGTAATTGATTATCATTTCATGACCATTGAGTTTGGTTCTTGGCAAGACGTCGTTGCGAAGCGGTTCCTGGCATGTTCCCGATGTAAGTAGCATGTTGCCTCCAACTTTAATGAGTAGCCACAGACAGAAACCTCATTCGCGCCATCTTGCGTGGCACAATGCGGCTGGACCCTGCAAGGTTAGAGGAAGAAAAACGATGCTTGGACTGGACCTTGTATCGTTGCCACATGATCTGTGGCGGTGACATACTTACCCTCTGCAGTTGCCATGCCAGTCCAACGCGTCTCTTCAGGTCTCTTCCCGCGACCAAATTTCAGTGGTCATAGACACCCAGCGATTCCCAATAGAACTACTCGGGCGTGGCATGATTATTCCTTAGATGGTTATGAAAATAGTTCAACCGAAGCGCACATACATACCGCCGTCACTGGCCCACAAGGTCAACACAAGGTACAATAAAGTTACAACGTTATTTGCAACATATCCCGGCCCCTCGTGAACGCGTTACTTCTCCAGTGCGACGGAGGCGGGCGGCGCTCTGCCAGCTGACAGGACTCAAACTCTGCATAAAAAGTCGTCAGTTTGAAGAAACAGCGATGCACACAATATGCACGCCGAGCTGCTCGTTCAACAAGTTGGTTCGGGGCTTTATCTCGGATGGCTGTTACAAAAGACCAACCAGGTTTAGCACGTCGATGTGCGATAGCCTAGGAACCTGTGTTGGCAGGCCTGAAGGAATGTTGAATACCGGTCTCGGTTCCGGAGCATGGTCACGCGACGTTCCAGTCCGAAGTACGTGCGACACTGACGCGTGAAATTTTGTTCTGGACCATGACCTCCAATATCCCTTTTCAAACTCAACATTCTTAAATAACTCTAGCGACATGGCTTACCTCTAAAACATATAAATATCGACCAACATGTTTTTCCCCAATCTCCCCAACTTAAACTTTCCGATGCTCTTCCCCATACTAGGATTACCTGCGCTACTCTCAACTTCCTTCGATTTCGATGCGGCATGTACATCCATAGGATCGCAAGTCGCCACCATCCAAAATGCTTCGCTGGTTCTTGCGCAAAGCGTGAAAGCAGGAACGAATCTCACCCTGCCAATTCGCGATGCATCTTGTGGAGCTAATTTTCAGGTGGTTTCGGCCGATATATGTCGTGTGGGATTAAACGTCACCACCTCCACCTCGTCAGGGATATATATGGAAAGTTGGTTACCAAGGAATTGGACAGGAAGGTTTTTGAGTACGGGGAATGGTGGTTTGGGCGGATGTGAGTCGTCATGGTCGTTTGGGTTTTTTGTGTTCGTTGATCTTGAGGTGGTTTTGGAGGCGTCAACTATGGTGATTTGGCGTATACATCGGCTTTGGGGTTCGCAGCATCGGGAGCTAATAATGGACATGATGGGAATACTGGTGCGCCGTTTGAGGGGAAACCTGAAGTGGTGAAAGATTTTGCGTATCGGTCGTGCGTACTCCGTATTCTTCAACCTTTCCTTGGACTCGTGGACTGACGCCTGATACTGGATGTAGGATTCACACCAACGTCGTCACAGGCAAACAGATCACGAAGATGTTCTATGGAATGCCGCACCAAAAGTCGTATTACTTTGGCTGTTCCACCGGAGGTCGACAAGGGCTGAAATCCGTACAAGACTTTCCAGAGGATTTCGATGGTGTGCTCGCAGGAGCACCTGCAGCTAATTTCAACGCGCTTACGTCTTGGAGTGGGCATTTTCTTGGGATTACTGGCCCGCCTGGGTCAGAAACGTTTATATCGAGTGATTTATGGGTTGGGCTTATTCGGGAGAGTGTGTTGAAGCAATGTGATGGGATTGATGGAGTCGAGGATGGCATTATTGAGGATCCGGACGTTTGCGAGTATGATCCCTCTGTGTTGCTTTGCGGAGAAGGTCAAACCACGGGGTGTTTGACGCAGGCACAGGTAGAGACTGTAAAGGGTGTTTATAGCCCGTTTGTTGGCTCGAAAGGAGAGGTGCTGTTCCCAAGAGCTCAACCGGGGAGTGAGAGCCAGGGAGTGATCAATTATGCTGGGGTGCCGTTTCAGTATACCTCTGTGAGTCTTGAATATCTTTTTCTTCGGCTAATTCCTCACTATATGACTAGGATTGGTTCCGCTATGTCGTCTATAATGCCTCCTTCGACCCAACCAAGATCACTCTCGCTGACTACGAATACGCTATCGCTCTCAACCCCTTTGATATCGCGACTTGGAAGGGAGATATCTCAGCTTTCAGAGATAGGAACGGAAAGCTTCTTTCGTACCATGGTCAGATCGACGGGATTATCACGCCAAAGAACTCTGAAGCCTACTACGACCACGTCTTGCATACCATGTCCCTCGATCCATCGTCTCTCGACGATTTTTATCGACTCTTTAGGATTAGCGGTATGGCGCACTGTAGTGGAGGTGTTGGAGCATGGAGTATTGGTGGTCAAGGATCTGGGGCTACGACGACGAATTTGGATCCTGGGAGTAATGTGTTGACGGCGTTGGTGAAATGGGTCGAAGAAGGAGTTGCACCGGAGACGGTTATGGGGTACAAGTATGTGAATGATACGCGGTCTTTGGGGGTCGAGTTTCAGTAGGAAGCATTGTCGGTATCCGTTGAGGAACACGTACGTTGGGGGAGATAGCACGAAGCCGGAGAGTTGGGAGTGTCGGGAGGTAGTGTAGTTCCTCTGTATACCTTGGATATCTTTCTGTTTCTCGTATCGAGGCAACAATGATGAATATTGAATATTTCTGCCCCCTTCTTTATTAGAAGCAATCTTCAATTGTGGATACTTTTGTCGACTCGCTTTAAATCAAGTGTTACACCTCTGGGGTCTATCCTCTCAAGGGTATCTGAGAATTGGCAAAAACCGACTCGGAGTTGGTCTCTGACCGTCCTCATCGTACTGGAGGCGTGATTGTGAGGTTCACTCAACATTGGATATGGTTTTACTCGTGTTGCTGTCACCTTTCACAGCGACTTTTATAACCAACTAAGCGGATCCTGTATCGTATATTCCCAGTACTAGCCTGAGGTTTTGTGTTGTTGCTTTATGGAATTATCACCACTATTTCGCAAAAAAAGATCCAACTATCGAAGATTCCCAGTTGGACACACTGGGAATTGAACCCAGCACCCCCCGCAAGCTGAAATACGATATGAGATACCATGCTAAGCGGATGTGATAACCAACTACACCATGTGCCCGATAACACATCTATATTCAACGCCCATTGCCCCGAGGAGTAAAGAAGAGCACCTACAAGAGACGCAAGTAACTCCGGCTCTCTCAAAAACGTTTCCTCCACCAGCCTCACAGCCTCACCCAAAGCAACTCCCCAAGAAATGGCCGCGGCGAGCGCCTAAAACGTGCTGTTCCTGGGCAAAGCTGCATCGCCACACACGCCTCGGAACATGGAATCGTGTCTACAGGTTCCAGTCGTGTCCTGTCAAAAATGACAGATCCAGCTCTGCTTCCTGTGACTGGCACCGAGCCAATTGGATTGTATCTGCCACATGTCAGTGATATTAAATGTGCGTACACGTTCACGTCGACAACCTGCACTGTTTATTCTAACTTCCATGATCACAGACTCCGAGTCTGCTGAATTTGAGCCAATTGGATCCGAGTCCCAGGGCCAAGTGCTGTATTTCGCAAAAGTCACAGTAGCCTCGTGTACACCAAATGCCGCGGCGCGTTTGTTTGAGCTCGGGGGGATGATGACTGTGATGGATTGATGGACTTACGAGGTGAGCTTCAATTACTACTTCTCTTTCACTGTAGTCCGAGTCCTAAATACAGGTTTGAGCTGAACCTCTCGGAAACGTATGGGCCGTTACCCGAGGAAATCACACTTTCAATGAAAGGCGAGGATATATGGATGAACTCATCCCGTTTAGACTCGGAGGAGGAGGAGTATGATTGTACGTTTCTACTTCAATCCAATCCAATCTCATTATCCCAATCTCACTCTCATCAAAGTTATGGATCAACGTCCGGAATACGCGAAACTCATATTTCGTCACCCCCAATCGAGCACACGGGACGGGTGTACCTGTTTATTCGACCACTTCGGGACAAGCACCGTGACAAAAAAAGGGCCAGGTGTTTTTGGTCGTTAGACGAACAAGGTCGATCCGAGATCCAGGGAAAGAACGCGAGGTTTGGGGTATCCCGGATGTTGTTGTATCGGAGTGGTTCGCCACCGAGGAATGTGTTTTCTTTGACCGAAAACTGGAGTGGATTGGTGGAGGTTGTGAAGGAGTATAATTCGTGTGGGTGGATGTTGGATAATATATCGGTTTTGTATTTGGGTTATTGGTATTTGTTATTTTGGTATATCGGGGGTTTATTTTTTTGTGGCGTATAAGTGCATATGGCATGTGTAGATTTGGTATTGTCACAGTTGAATAGGTTTGTAAATCTTGTGTTTGAGGAATAACGGGATACTCTGAGTCTAAAGTTGATGGTAAGAATAAGAATAATAGAGTGTATCTTCGTGCACCGTGACAGACTTGGATTACAGTCAATCCCTGGTCCTTGCAATGGTGGCTCCTCTGCTCTGCACACTTCAAAATCTCCCTTGGAGAAATTTTCAGGGAACTCTTATAGCATACACAGATAACTTATAATAATTGTAGCTTGATTCATCCATTGCTGAAGCAATGGCAAACATCTTTACAGGAAAACCCACCAAAAATGAAATTTGCCGGCTGAGTTTTATGACGCTCCACCCGACAAAGAAACAGAAAAAAATTCAGCATACTTGAATGAGTTATATGAATGATTTGGGATACTTTTTACTGTGGTGAATCAGGTGTGGACAGCAAGGAAAGCATAACAGTCGAGGAGAGAGCAAACTGAGCGTTGAAAAGTGTACGTCACTACATTGATCCACAAATCAGATGCCTCAGATGGTCGCTAAATAAGGAAATTTGTTCCATTGCAAGGAATGGGAAACGGCCTTCATCAAGAACAATCTCTCTAGGACACTATCCCCCCCTTTCTTATTCTTTTTTGAGAGCCATACAGTTTGGAATGAGTGTACCTAGATGTCTAAGAAAACCGGCTGAGAAAAGCTGCCCTCAGGAGTTTTTCCGAGCCGAAACAAATTTGGCCATTGCAAGGACCGGGGATTGACTGTACTCTTTAAACGCCACGGACAGACATATAAGTTCCTTTTCTGTCCTTGCTTTGATGGTGTAGCCATTGGTCAGTTCAATCAATCCGTTCGTTGTCATAGCTCGCCGCCCTTATCCAGCCAAGTCACTCTATATGATGTATCAAAGACTCGGAGGTCTGGCGGTGATCTTGGTAATTCGCTTTTAATTATTTCTTTGCATCCCAGGAAAACGTTACGGACTCAGAACGTGCCTGCGACTACTTCGTGATGGACACACTGGGAATTGAACCCAGCACCCCCCGCAAGCTTCGAGGTGTATGCTAAGCGGATGTGATAACCAACTACACCATGTGCCCCATATCAGATAACACGGCCCCTGTTACTGGTCAAAGCTGCATCTCCGAGCATTGGATTGCTGCTTATATCCAAGTCCGAGTCGTTTATGATACCCCCAATCGACGAGTATACATTGTCCTCCGCCTCGAGGAAAGGATGCTTGTATCCACCACATGACATTAAACATTGTCCTGGTTGAGAGTTCACCATGACGTTCACAGTCTGAGAGCCTGAGACGGAGTTTTGATTTGGAAATGGTATCTAAACAACATAACCCCCAATAGTGACGGTGATTCTGAGTCGTTTGTTTTGGCCCTTGGGCAAAAGGTGACTCGTGCACAAACTCGGTAAATACTGTGATGACCCAGCGTCCAAGCCACCGCATCGGGCACATGGTGTAGTTGGTTATCACATCCGCTTAGCATAGAAATGAGAATGTGTTCGTCAGCTTGCGGGGGGTGCTGGGTTCAATTCCCAGTGTGTCCATTAAACTTGGATTGCTATAGCTTTTTTGAAGGTGTCAGGAGCAAGTCATCACTCCCCTATTGGCGTTCATATACGTTCACACTCTCACTTGGACACACTGTCAATTAATCAACAGTAGATGTGAGCTTTACTACTAAGACATTCCGAGTCAAAGAAGATGAGTCTTTGAAGGTGAATGTCCCATATGCACAAACCTGGACATAAGATAATAATATACTGTTCGTCGACATGTCCCACCGTCCTTACCTTTTGCATTATGCAGCGAAGTGTCCGACATGCATCAAAAAAAGAACCGAGGTCCGCGGCCGGCGGTGATCTCGGTAAACGTTATGGTTAGAAGTCTATTCACCGAGACTTGGTGTACGTTCGTAGACTGTTTCAACGGGGACATTGGGTTCGAGGGCGGATTTTGGAGCTTTTGCACCGGGGGAGTATCTTTACGGGGACCAAACTAGTAGAGAAGCTGAAAAATATTGAATCTGCACAACTTATGTGGACACACTGGGAATTGAACCCAGCACCCCCCGCAAGCTTATGAGTCAAGCGCCTGGTATGCATACAATGCTAAGCGGATGTGATAACCAACTACACCATGTGCCCGATGGCAAAGTACCTATAGTTGTATGGCTATAGTTTACTCAGCAACCCGAAGCGCGCCCAAAAATACCTGACCCTGAAAAGCTGGGCGCGCCGACTGTCATTCCGTTGTCAAGAGCGAGATGACTATCCGCAAGCTTCCGTTCCCAAAAAAAAACACTCTCTCTTCCACCACCATTGCCTGACACAGCCCAATCGCAGCAGACACACTCCACAGCACTGCCGAGGAGAGAGAGAAACAGCCACGCGAGCGCCTAAAATTGACAGCTGCGGCGTAGTGACGCAAACACAGCCCCCTTTGGATGAAGTAATCATTTACAAGACAACCACTGCTCGCTTGTTTCATCTCTGCTCCTCTTCTTCTCCTTTTCTCTAACCATGGCTCATTACGGCGATGTTAGTCCCAGTTTCTACTTTTCATCTGAGGAGAGCTAACTCGTTTGCAGCCCGAAGCCAACCGCCGACATTTCAACGACGCTTATCCAACCCATTCCTCTCCACCTCCACCGGCACAAACTCAATCAACATATTACCCCGGTGGTTTTCAACAGACCACAACCATACGATACCTATGATTATGGACATCCTGCTTCTCCTCCGCCTCCGCCTCAACAACAGCCTTTATACGATCCATACGAACCACCTCAACACCAACAACAACCATTGTACGACCCACCATACGCACCACCGCCCCAAGGCCACTTGAGTCCACCACCTCAACAAGATCCATTCGGGACGCCTAGTACGCTCTATCACAGGCAGTCGTATGACTTGCATGACGATGGGCCTGTTCCATCCTGGTGGTGCAGGGGCGAACGACGATTTCGATATGCCCTTTTACAACGCAACACTTCCGCTCTGCGCCTCTCAACCTCGATTTTCCAGAACCCAGTACGGGCATGGGGATGGGTATGCCAGGGGGCTTACCAACCAGACGATAGCAACATCCGATATGGAAGGATCCCACAAAGAGTACCTAGGAGGTACAAGACGATTAAAAAGGTGGAATTGTTCCATGGGAATTTTGTGTTGGATAATGAAGTGCCGAGTAAACTTTTGGATTTGTGTAGAGAGAAGAATGAGAGGGAGTTTACGCATATGAGGTATAGTGCTGCTACTTGGTGAGTGCCCCCCTGTTTCATTCATTGGGTTGGCGTCGATGCTGAAGCGGTGGTGGTGGTAGTGACCCAAACGACTTTAAAGACTCCGGCTTCACACTCCGTCAAGTACACTACGATCCCCCGAGAAGAACAGAGTTGTTCATCGTCATGACGATGTATAACGAAGATGAGGAGTTGTTTTGTAGGACTATGCATGGTGTGATGAAGAATATCGCGCATTTGTGTAAAAGAGATAGGAGTAAAACTTGGGGGAAGGATGGGTGGAAGAAGGTTGTCGTACGTCCCTTTCCTTCTTTTTTTGGTGTTTTTGGGTGTTGATGGGGCTGGGAGCGTAGGTCTGTATAGTCTCCGACGGCCGACAAAAAATAAACTCGAGAACGCTTTCTGTGATTGCTGCGATGGGTGCTTATCAAGATGGTGTAGCCAAAAACGTTATCAATGGGAAGGAAGTCACTGCGCACATATACGAGTACACTACACAAAGTCTGTCCTTTCTCCCCTTTTCCTTCCGTTCAGAAAACGCTAACGCGAGATATAGTCAGCGTAACACCCTCCTTAAAACTCGAAGGTCCCGAAAAAGGCCACGTTCCAGTCCAGATTATCTTTTGCCTCAAGGAGAAGAATCAGAAGAAGATTAACAGTCACAGGTGTGCTCCCTTTCCCTTCCTTTGCCCCAATACCCCCTTCCTTCACCCCCGACCCCAACAACCCCGAAAAACACAGCCCCAACAACCCCGAAAAACACAGCTAACACCCCCACGCAGATGGTTCTTCAACGCCTTCGGCCCAATCCTCAACCCCAACGTTTGTGTGTTATTGGATGTGGGAACGATGCCTGGCCCGACGAGTATATACCATCTTTGGAAGGCGTTTGATATTAATAGTAATGTTGGGGGTGCTTGTGGGGAGATTGTTGCGTTGAAAGGTGTGTGTGGTTTTTTTTCTTTTGATTTGGGGTTTTTGGGGGTTTGGGTTTGGGGCTGGGGTGTTTTGGGCGTTTGGTTTGGGGAGTGTTTGGGGTTCGGGGAAGAAACACGTCCTCTCCTTCCTTCCTTCTGCACCTTTCTTTCTGTTTCAGCGTTTCGGTTCCTGGTATGCTGACGCTCGCATCAAACAGGCAAATGGGGTCTAAACCTCCTCAACCCCCTAGTAGCAGCGCAGAATTTCGAATACAAGATGTCGAATATTTTGGATAAACCGCTTGAGAGTGTGTTTGGGTATATTACGGTTTTGCCGGGGGCGTTTAGTGCGTATCGGTGAGTAGGCTCTGCTCTTGCTTTTTTCGTGGTTTGGTGTTGGGGGTGTTGGTTGGGGTTTTTGGGGTTTGGGGGTGCTGGGGTGCTGGTGTGAGGAGAAACACAAGGCCCTGACGTTTTGCGGTGTTTTGATGTTGTGGTGTCGGGATACCCCGCCTCTCCTGGCTTTCTCATCTCATTCTACCTTGTCAGAAGAAACAGAACCAACGCTAATACTTCGCTCGCAGGTACATTGCACTACAAAACGACTCTATGGGTGAAGGACCGTTACAGAAATACTTTTTGGGAGAAAAGATGCACGGAGCTGGTGCGGATATATTCACGGCGAATATGTATTTGGCTGAGGATCGTGTGAGTGGTTTCTCCCTTTCTTGCCGTCTTTGTTTTCGTTCTCTTCGTTCCTGCCACTACCCGATTCCCTACACGCCGCTACCACTTTTTACACCCCACTACCACGAAAGAGAAGGACGCTGACGCGAAACACCATAGATTCTATGCTGGGAGCTGGTTAGCAAGAGAGGTGGAAGTTGGATTTTGCATTATGTGAAGAGTGCGTATGCGGTTACGGATGTACCTGATCAGGTGTGTTGGTCTTTCTCTCGTTCTACCCCCATTTCGCTCTTCTACCTTCGCCCGTGCTCGTTCGTTCGTTCGATACCTCACTCCGCCCTTGCTCGCTCTACATCTCACTCCTTCGCCCTTCCACGCTTGCTCGTTCGATACTCACTCACCTCACCGCAGGTCCCGGAACTCATCTCCCAACGACGTCGATGGCTCAACGGCTCGTTCTTCGCGGCTGTACATTCAACTGTGCATTTCTATTATATATATAGAAGTGCGCATAGTTTTTTGAGAAAGTTTTGGATTCATGTTGAGGTGCGCGTCCTGCTCCTTCTACCCCTACCTCCCTTCCTTTCCACGCCCAAGAAAAGACGAGAAACTGACGCGGACGCCCCAAACAGATGTTCTACCAACTCTTCAATCTGATCTTCTCATGGTTCGCTCTAGCGAACTATTATATCGCATTCGTCATTCTGTCAGATGGAATGGAAGATCCTCAGTTTAATATAAAGGGGATACACGTCGTCAACGTAATCTTAAATTATTTCTATCTAGGTACGCTCTCTCTCCCTTTCTTCCTTCTTCTCTCCACACACACCCTAACACACCCCCTTCCAGGCCTCCTCGTAATGTGTTTCCTCCTCTCAATGGGCAACAGACCCCAAGGTGCCAAATGGCAATACACCATCGCCTTATCGGATTCGCCTTAATCACCATATACATGACCGTCGCTGCCTTCCTCCTCGCGTTCAAAGGCATCGAAAACCTCTCAGAGGTTTCGGGGAAGGGCACTGACGTTTGGGGATCTTTTTACGAATACGATTTTTAGGAATATTGTGCTTTCGATATTGGCGACGTTGGGGTTGTATATTGTTGCTAGTTTGATATTCGTGAGTCCGCCTCCTTTCTTCTTTTTCGTGGGGTGAAGGAGCTGATGGGTTGGGGGCGAATAGTTCGAACCATGGCATATGATAACGTCCTTCATACAATACCTCCTCATGGCACCGTCTTATATCGCGGTACTGAACGTTTATGCGTTCGCGAATGTACATGATGTGTCGTGGGGAACAAAGGGTGATAATAAGGTGTCGACGGATTTGGGGGTGGTGGAGGTTAAGAAGGATTCTAATGCCGTGAGTCGTCTCGTGTCAGTCATAGGCTATCGCAGGGGGCTCATGTGTTTTGGGTGTCGTGGGTGTAGGTCGAGGTAGCTGTCCCGACGGAGAAGAAAGATATCAACGCTGGATATGAAGATGCGTTACATGTGTTACGGACGAAACCGCCCAAGGTTGAACAGAGTGGTGGGCCGGATCAGGAGGATTATTATAGGACTTTTAGGACGAAGTGCGTTTCTCTCCCCTTCTTCCCTTTCCCTTTTACCCTTCTTCCTTCTTTGTGTTGACGACTCGAACAGTGTACTCCTCGCATGGACACTCTCCAACGCCTTATTAGCAGCAGCTATTGTACAAGCGAACGGAAAAGCGGAAGATCAGGGTGCACAGAATAGTGTGAAGGGGTATATGGCGTTTTTGTTGTTTAGTGCGTCTATCACCTTTCCTTCCTGTTTTTCTTTGTGAGGCTGACGGTTTGGGGATAGGTGTGGCAGGGATTGGCGTTTGTACGATTCGTGGGGTGTACGATGTATATGGTTGTTAGGTTGTTTGCTGGGGAGTAGTGTCTCTCTGGTTGGCCGGGGTTCGGGGTAGTTGGTTTTCGGGTTGGGAAGGAATGGAAGGAGCAGGAAGGAGGAAGGAGGAGGATACCCACACACACGCACGCACGCATTCACGCACGGACTATACCACGTATTGTCATGACATATTTATGAGATTTTTGCACGTATCTATTGTTTTTGTTGTCTGTTTTCGCTTCCTCAGTTTCGGTGTTGACCATGACAGCGTGGAGGTGTGGCAGAGAGAGGTATCGGGCACATGGTGTAGTTGGTTATTCACATCCGCTTAGCATGACGGTCAAAGAAGCTGATGAGCATTGCGGGGGGTGCTGGGTTCAATTCCCAGTGTGTCCACATTATATATTGGCATGATTTCCAGATCTTTTTTCCTGGGATTCAGGTGACGACGAGATATCGTAACCGATAAACATTCGTTGAACCGTTACCACCATCATCTCGAAGGGCTTCTCCATGCTCTCCCGACCAGCGCAAGCTCGAGAACCTAGCAACGCGGCGAATCTGCCAGCTAAATTGGTCAATGCTTCTCGTCGTCACAGCTTCGTTCTCCGAGAATGTTATACTCGTTATCTTTTTCAAAGGTCTTATCGGTGCTCTATCCGACGAGGACTCTGACCTCCCTAGTAGCCTACTCCACAACTGATCCTGCCGAGGATCATACTCCTCAGGCCACGCTTATCATGCTTTCAAAGGTAAGTTGAGATACCAACTCGTATACTGTTGCTGACGCTCTTCAGAAATAGATTACGTGCACAGCTTTGGCGGAGATAATGGGGGTGTGGTTCACTGGGTAAATCTTGGGTAAATCACTACAATAAATCTCAGCTTTGTCCTACTTATGCGTTCAATAGCCTGAGGTGCTAACAGGACGCTGCGAGCAGAAATGTTATCTATCATGATGGCTTAGATCTATCTGGAACAACCACAACTCGTGCTTTCGAGCAGATCCGAGGTAATTAACTCGCTATTCTCGTCCACATACGCTGTTCTCCACGACAGCGGGAAGGTGCGTTAATTATAGTGATCTCGGTGAATAGACTCCTAACCGTGACGTATACTTAGATACGATAAAATACCCTATAAGCGAGAGCGCAGTCGACAACTTGAGGACCTCCCAACGATGTCGACGAGTTCAACCATTCCTGCTGGTTTGGCTGAGCTCTTGACCGTTACGCGGATTGTGGTCTATCCACTTACGACGCTTTCGGTGTGTGATCTTTTACCTGCGCCCTCGATAGATGAGCTCATCTACAACTGATTCTCTGTTAGCTCATGTATTTCGTCTATGGTGCGCCTCACTGTTGCATATTCAAGGCCTTCAAGCTCACCACTTCCTAATAGGTTTCTACCTCCTTCTCTTTGGAACGTGCATGTACATGTTCCACCGCAAGACGAAAACCGACGATCAGTTGCCGAATAGCAAGCTCTATCTCACCTTGACAGTCATTCTTTTCTTATTGGCGACTACGTTTGTCGGGGATTACACCGGCTTGTTGGTTAACCAAACCATCATTCATTTTACGGCGGTTAGGACAGGGGATTATGGTCCCTTGATAGAGTATATGGAAGATAATGAGCGGAAGACGATCTTTTAGTGAGTACCTCAGGGTTAAATTCCTAATGTTTTGATTGACTAATGACCGCTCCAGCGCGATTGAAATCATTGTCCCTGTGCTTATAAAGTAGGTCCCTTTTATAGCCGCGACGACGTAGACTGACTTCTACACCAGTATCACAGCAGACTGCATGCTAGTTCACCGCTGTTATACCATTTGGAGCTCAAGAAAGCGTGTCGGGTTTCCATTGATATTCTTGTCAACTGGCACAAATCGTATGTAGTAGCGCCACTCTCCTTGGTTCTATCTGAATCTCATTGCTCGTCCCAGTGCTCGGTTTAGTCGGCAGCGTGATGAGTATAGTCGGCCTCAGTGACTCCGCCGACGACGCGGACTATGCTCTGTACTTGAAAGGTACTACTCTTTACAACGCATACGCTATCGCTAGTACCGCTGTTAACTCCATTTTAACGATATTGACTGGTACGTTAGGATACTCCGTCACCTCACTTGTTCTGATTTGAATACTGTAGCTGGCCGTATATGGTGGATACACCGTCAAGCTCGTCAAACATACGGACGCAACGTTTTCATCAGTGACAGACTACTTCAATCCATTATAAGGATCATGTCAGTTCTTGTGTTTCCACAAACAAAAGTCGGGTTTAATTGGCTATGTAGACTCGAATCTGGATTCCTCTATCCAGCAGTGACCATCGCGACCTTAGTCATAGCGAGCACAATACCAGACCAGACTCCCGTCGACCTTTCTCCCTTATCCGAGCTGGCTGCGGTAAGAATTCTATGCTTGTGTACTTTTTAATTCTGACTTGTTATGAAAGGGTCTGGCACCGACGTTAATTCTGGTGCGCGCGCAACTAGGACAAAACACTGAGAATTTGCAGGAAGAAATGTTGACTGATATGCGGTTTACGAGTCACCCAGCGGAGACTGTCACTGCTAGTAGATCCCAAGGACAAACACATTCTTTTCTGAACTTGGAGCTTGGGACGCGAGAAGTCGAACAGGGGAGTAGTGGTAGTCGGGAGAAAAACACGGTATAATATGTATAGTAAAGTGTTCTAATGTTCGAGATTAAATGAATAATGAGAACGGGTTATGTATACTTTCAGGTATGAAAAATCCTCAATAATTCCCCTCCTTTCGTCCGACCTTTCTCTTCCACCGCACACCCAGAGGACATCAACACACTGCCCAGTCTTTCGTACTCGTCTGAACGTTCACCGTAGACATGGAGCTCAACTCGCAACCCGGGACGATGAAAGGCATCGGTACCTTGCAACAACCCAAGAAGAAGTTCTTCGTTGTAGTTGTTGTAACGAGGGTTACTACGGCACATCACAAGAAGCTGAAGGTTCTCGAGGCACGCAAAACCCAGTTCGCCAGGACGAATCTTCTCCATCAAAAACTCCAAAATTCCATTCGACTTTGACCTATAGACAGACGGATTGCAGCCAAGGTCGATTACCAGGTTCCTGAGCGAAGGGAACGTGGACGTGATCAACCTTTCAATGTTCTCGAGGTCATTCCGATACGCGTGATTCAGCTCCAGGTGCTTCACCTTCGCACCGGACCTTTCAATCATCCCTAAAACATGGTGATAAACAACCTCTCTATCCTTCACAACCAACTTCTCCAAATTCGGTGCAACGAGCTTAACCATGGGGCATTTGTACCACGATCCTCCAGTCCCGCGTGAGTATTCCAAAACGCGCAACGACTCTAGGACCACATTGGGGTACGCATCAAACGCGTGTAAATCAGCGAAACGGCCCATCATTCTTTATGCCAACCGTGCGGACCGCGAATCGTTCCAAATTCGGTGCAAGAGAGAACACGTTAAGTGAATCTGTGATGGACGTTTCGGAGATATTGCATTCCGCCATTTGTTCCCAGGGGAGTGCGATAGTCTCCCAAAACCTGGAAACACCGTTTATCTCCACGGATCGTAGCCTTGAACCAGCAAATGCATCCAAGCGAAGACGATATGTTTGGTTCATACCCTGAACATCGAATTTCAACGCTTCAAGACGCGCGACACGTCCTTTTAGCCCGTCCAAGAGAGGAAAAAGGTTGTAGTGCGCGCTGACGTCAAGTCTCGCTATTGCTTGTGCGTACGGAAAAAGTGACGATTCCCATAACAGTAAATCCCATCGACGGATGAACCACCCCGAGTTTCGGTATGATACTTGGAGCAAGCCAGGACCGTCTCCGGAGAGGAGATAGTTTGAGTCATGTTTGGGGAGAGCGTTCTCTATCCACCTCTTGACTCGTTCGATCATTCTCTGAGCCACGATCTCGGGTACACCTTCTTTCGTTCGTGATGAATTGAGGACTCTATCCAATTCATCGGTGATCTCGACGTTGAGGAGGCGCCAAAGAGAAGGTGTAGTTTCTGCGATTGCGCGCCAGCGATGAGAGACGTTTGAGAGGATCCATGGGGTGGCATGGCAATTTAGTGGGTTTAAGGGATCCAAAGCAGGGAAATAGGGGCTCGGTTTGGGCTTGGATTCCAGCTCTAGATCCCGTGTTTGTAGGAAGATTGAGCTGAGGACTTCGACGGGAAGCTTTGAGATGGGTGACATGAGGTAGTCACGGTTGGACGAATTGTGCTGGGGAAGTGTTAGCTGAATATCAACGAACGAAGGGCAGTAAGGACGACTTGCCATAGCTGCATTTGAGTGATTCGTGCGGAGCGAGAACATGTTGAGGATGAAAGTGACATCCGTACACCTCGTTCTTATAAAGAGGACTCTGTGGCATGGCCTGTACACCGACTATTGTCCACAGAACTTCCTTTTCGGGTTGTGGTTGTGGCCTTTGGGCCACGCTCGATACCTAGCACCATTGTCCGAACGATACGCCACGCATCTCACAGCCACAAAGGTCCAGTCCACTCCGACGTCTACGGAGCGATCCATCGAAGTTGGCGATCCATCCGACTTTGAGGCGAGCTGAACCAGGGAAAATATTGCTCGTGTTGAAGCAGTACGGAGTGTATAGTGCTAAAAACCATGTAAACACGCTAATAAATGGTGAATTTGTATCGTAGATGTTCAATGAACGAAAAAAATGGTACATCAATGATCTGAATCCGAACCCCATCCACGATCATATATCCTCGACTTTATTGGTGGTCCCTTTCTCCCAGGAGGATACAGCTTGATTTCATTCGGGCCTAGCATAGCTAAGTTCGCAGAAGGGATCAACTCCCAATGCTCGTTGATATCTTGTTCAATTCCATGCCTGTCATGGTTGAGTCATTGCACGCGCGAAAAGGTATACCTCAAAACACTTACACCTTCCTCAAATGCGATTTCACAACTCGTAATCGATGTCTATAATCACACTCCTTACAGATATACCATCGCAAATCCTCTATATAACTTTTGAGCCAAACGTTGCTTGCATTCTCTCTCTCCAGGATAACGGGGAGATCGGCTTCGGGAACAGCGATGATTTCGTGATCTTCCTTAAGATGAGGAGAATACCATTCGAACTGTAGCAAGCGTAAGCCACTCTTAGCGCAGAATATAGACGGGACCACGTACCAACGCAGTCCATCTCAATATACACCGGATGCCCCCTTTTGACCGGCAAGTCAGACACTCCAGCAGGGGATTGCGAGCCAGCATATCACGAAAAGACGTTGTTTCGGGATTAATACCGTAGAGCTCACAAACATGTTTCGTCTTCTCGATAGCACCGACATGCATCCGCGGTTCGCAAGCTTTCCTCCATTCAGCATCCGATGGACAC